ACATACATACACTCAACATACCTCAGCTTTAAAAGAACAGTATCCCCCCCTTATATCCTTACAGACTTTTTTCACACAGTGTTTAAATGCCTTTCCCATAACATAGAGTTTCTCATCTGTAACAAGTCTTACATTCTGTTTTCTGTAAATGTAGACAAACCAAAGAACACCCAATTGTCTGCACATATGATGAACAGTTCATAATAAAAGCAAATGTTCCTCCTTCCAGTGGGTCGTGCGAACTACTTGTAGGCTTAGGAGGTGAAGGAATACGCCTTTAAGACGTCTTTCCCGTCTTTTCCTTCTGCTGAGGCCACAACGCTGGAGTAGTCACAGGCGACGTGAGTGAACCCTCTAGAAAACAGGCATACGAAGCGTAAGAAGAATTAGGAAATGCCTGTATTCAGGCTGTTGCATTGACTCGGCTGATTGTTGATACAGAGAACAGTACCTGGACACTGTGTGAGAGCCTCCCAGGAGGTGGTATCGGCTCTCCAGGGTCAACCCCTGGTCTCGGTCATTCCTCCATGTCAGCACTCGTAAGGAGAGGTCCTGAGATGCCGTCACCACACGAAAGCTATCCTGTAAACATGAAGACATTTATACTTGGCTCTTTTCACACAGGTGGTGTGTGTCGGGATTTATCTCTTTTTAAAGTCCAAATGAGAAAAGAACCCACCACACACATAGAAGAGATGGCCATAGTATGCTCCTTAAAGCTGGCGAGCAGGGCTCCTTTCAGAGAGTAGACCCACAGCTCCTGACCAGCGGCCATCACTAGGCAGTTGCTGTCCTTGGCCGCTAGATGGATGTGTGAGGACCGTTGGTTGAGTGTCAAGGGGAAGGACTCCACCTGCTGGACTAAGATGAGACTCAAAATCATACCAGCACAAGCCAACAACAATATATAGGGAAAGAAAATCTACTTTTTAAACCCCTAAAATATAGATTTCAGGATATATTATGGGATATTAAGCTTACAACCAGTTTATCATATATATTCTCAATTCATATTTACCTGCACGTCCTAAGATATTACGCACTGCAACATGAAATAAACTGGGACACATTTAGAATGGTTATGTTTAAAACTGTGAAATGGTCTATATATTAAATAATTGTGACATCACAGCGTATGGAAATCCTGACTGCTCGTTTAAAGGCACAGCGTCTGAATATGGGATGTGTGTGTTTCTCCACGGAGTGAGCTTTTCGATACTTTTACAGTATTTATAAAACACTTAGACCTGCTTAATAATAAGCATGCAAATCTTACTTTTACAATGTGGAACCTTTAAATTCCGCGGTAGATGTGTTAGAAAATCGAACAGTATTTGTACCAGCTGCTTAGTTAATGGTGGGTTTTCCTACAATGATTCACCAGCTGCAACGTTTCTAATGGCTAATATGAGATTCAGTAGCACATTCAAAGCATATCAGAGTCAACCGGCACATTTCTCAGTCCTCACCCTGGATCTCTGACTTGTACTTAGTCTTTTTAATGCTGACATCGAAGACAGTGAGGGCTCTGTTGTTTGGCCGCTCGTTGTGGTGGATGATGGCCAGTCTGGCAGGCTGGGTGGGTATGAAGACAGCAGCCTGGCACCCAGTGACTGGCACAGACTGGCACAGAGGGTCCTCGTCCTCAGACGGCGAGGTCAAACTCTCAGCGTAAATCACCTGCCAACAAACCAAACAACATGAATCTACAAAATGTTTCTTTCCAACTGTGACATTTGCCCCGAGGTAATGAGGTAATGAGGTAATGAGGTAAAAGGAAACAGAGCAGGAAACACACACATGAATACCTTTGGACTTAAATCAAGATTGTCCTCGTTTCCAGCAGTGATCCATTTCTTGTCCGGTGAAACCAGTAATGTGTTGACATTAAAGCTGTCGCACACCATCACGCTGGACTTTCGAGTCAAAGCTGAGTCAGCTAGTGTGCACACAGATCCCTGACTGGTCCCAACCTGGAGGAGAATATGATGAGCAGCACATGTTACTTTACTATGAATAAAATGCTTTAATATTATACAGAAACTCTGAAGTTACTTACAGTCAGAAACCAGTTGTTGTCGATGTTGTACTGAAGTAATGTACAGCGTGGAGAACCAGTAGAGAAGGAGGCCACCTCCTGGCCGGTCCGACCTCGCCAGGTCTTGATGAGGCCTGTGGAGTCGGCTGTGATCACCACTTCATGCTGTTCATCACTCACAATCGCTGTTAAAGGCCCCTGCACGGGACTGCACCACAGGAGTTCACCCTGAGAGAAACAAAGGTGCAACGTGAGCTTAATGCCTCGGGGGACGACATTTATTCCAGTCGCTTGCTTACTTTCAACCAAGGAGAGGAAACTATCGGGGGAAATCAGTTTGCATTGCAGTGGGATGTGACTGCAGTACATTTGTGGACTCACAGCATGTGCGAGTAAAGTTGACGTTTACATGTTTTGTTGAGCATTGCCTGTAAATACTGCACAGAAGTCATACAATCAAACTCTGTGCCTCCAAACAAGCATAGATACTTAAAGGAACAGTGTGTAGAATGTAAGGAGATCTACTGGCAGAAATGGAATATAAAACGACTCCACTTCTCACTTGATTGATTACCTCAGTAAACATTGTAAACATGTAAACATTATGGTCAAAATGCTAGTTTCAAGTCTTCTTCAATACAGCATGATGTTCATTTAGTAAAGTATGGTCCATTTAGATTCAAATAGAGCATAAAGCAGGGGATGTTTTAGGGCGGGCTTACTGTGATTGACAGGTCGCTGCCGCTACTAGAGCGTCTCGACGTCACTCCTCCACATTCCAAATATGGCAACTTCTTAATTGGTCGCAAAAAGCGCCACATCCTACACACTGCACCTTTAACACGAGTGCACTGAGAATGCACGATGATACGCTGAAGGTGTCGGCACTTGCATTTTGGATGTTCCATGCTCGGACTGTGCCATCGGTAGACGCGCTGCACACTGTGGAGCTGCTGTTCCAGATGTCAGGATGCTGAGCTGAATTTCCCTGCAGGTATGTAAACCCTACCACCCTGCCTGATGGACAGCATGTCAGATGGAAACATCAGATGAGGGACTTCATGAAGTCATGCAAAGGACATTCCAAAGAGAGAGAGAGACGGCATACCTGTGTGTCCTCGCAGGCTTTTGCAGGTGTAACCTCCTGACCTGCCTTTCGTCATCTTCGTCTCTAAGTGGCAACGTCGCAGGAAGTATCTCTTCCACGAGTGAGTCACCCGTTCACTCCCCAAGACAGCAAGGTTACAGAAACTCCAGCGCTGCAGACACATCCTCCTGAGCAGAGCACAGAAATGGATATTTTGAAATGTTTTGATATGAAAGATTATTCACAGAAGAGATGCACAGATACTGATATCGGCCCGATACTATCAATGACAGCAGGAGAATCTAGTCTAGGATACTCACAATTCAGTAGATTTATATCTACTTTCATCAGTGAGCCATTGTGAACCCCTTTGACTACAGCAATGACTTAACAGAGATTTATTTCAAAGAAAATGTTGGACACTGCCACTTTAACAAAGTTTAAATTCATAAGACAGAGATGGAAGTATAGACACGTCTCACCTCCACAGCCAAGCAGTCTCTGCAGCGTCATTCCAATCCTGAAAACACATCATTGTAATCAGACAGAAAGTTCTTAATGAGCTAGCTCTTATTGCACGTGAGCTACTTCCGCAAGTGTTGACACTCCTCACCTGACACACGGCGGAGGCACGGATCAAATCCTCCTCAGTCAGGAAAGTAAAAATATGAATGAGGCAATCACCGATCAAGTGCGGGTGATGAAGATCCATACTGACATCAATAATGTTGCGCCACCTCAACAACTATTTCCCGTCACAGTGACAGCGAACAGGTCCAAACTACGGAAAGCATACAGGGACAAGGAAGGTTTGTTTCGCTTTTCTTCCCGGCTGCAGTGGCTTCACTCCGCCACTAGGTGTCGCCATTGTAAAAGGCAGGTGATCCGGAGACATGTCCGGGACAGAGACGCACAACAGGTAGCGCGCACAGGATATACAACTGAGAAGTGGATGAATTCTACTTTTAAATATGAAAAAACGTAACTGAAAAAATGTATTCAATATCTTAAACGTGTGACTTAACCACCTGTTACCTGGGAGAAAAGAAAATGTCATTCAGTCTATTATGAGGCAGCCTAAATATGAATCTAATTAAAAACAAGTCAGTGCTCTTTATTTAAAAATTGTTTTATCTGCAACTTTTTTGTAATGCTCCATTTTTTTTTTTTTTTGCAAGTGTGGAAAAAATACGAGTAAATCAAGTGAAGCAAAACTGATAACATCTGCATAAAATATAAGCTTCACATTGGGATGAGTCCTGACCCACTTAATAACAAGCCATCCCAATCAGTCAAGGTGAATTCACAGCACAAGAGAGTGTGTGTGTGCGTGTGTCTATATTTGTGTGTGTGTGTGTGCGCTGAGATTCAGCCCTGGCGGGATTCTTCAGCAGGGCCTCATGTCTCCTGTGAACACGCCCCAGATAGATGAGCCAGATATATAGCCAAGACCTGCGGGTAGCAGAGGAACTGTGAGAAAGACATAATCGTACTTGCTCACCCCAAGGGTTACCTGTGACACCCTCGCAATGACAAGAAGGCCCAGCGAAAGGGGGCCACGTACAGGGAGTTTGGATACCAACCTAACCGGCAATTTGTAAAAAAGAAAAAAAAGGTTGTTTTTTTTCTCTCCTGAGCGCGTACTATTTTTTGATGCTCTTCGTCATTTTTGGAGTTCCTTTGGAGTTACCTGTGGGCTGTGATCGATCGGAGAATAAGCGAACCGAGTTATTCATCAGCTCTGCAGATCGTTGCATGAAACTGAGAGCGGGGCCGCAATGAGTCGGAGAACACGACGCTGGATTCTAAGAGTTTTACTTTCTCTGGGAATTGTTTATTTGAAAATTGGGTGAGCTGCGCTTATTTGACTTTTCTTAGGTTTGTTGTAGATTATTCTCGAACACAAAGGACTTTTAGCGACTGACGGATGGTATTGAGACTTTATCTGTGAGCACCTTGTATTCCATGTTTGTGGTGATTTTATGAATAAATAATAAAACATTAGGGGAAGAGCGTAAATGTATCTAAAGTAGACCCGTGGCAACTCTTCATTATGACCAGTCATGCCATTTCCATCATTATGACTTTAAATTATGGTAAAACGCATACTGGCATAATAATTAAAACTTTATTTAACTTAAATAATGAGTCTAGTTGTGCCCCATAGCCCAAATATCTCTTCTAAAGTGGAACAGATACGTTTGTTGATAATATACTGTTAATATGCATGATAACAGAGTTAATTTATTTTCCATAGGAATACATTTCATGTTGGATTGTGACCATCAGCTATGCTACTATTTAATAAAGAAAACAGTGGAACCGGATATTTATTCAAATGTTATTCATACACTTTAGGGATAAAAAAAAAAAAAAAACCGACTCAAACTAACAAAACAAAAACATAAGAATGGGGCGAAAAAAAAAATTGTTCTCAGTCATATCCATCTTCCATTCACAGTGGCTTCTCGTCGGTGGTGGCCCTAGGTGCGAGCATAATCTGTAACAAGATCCCCGGTTTGGCCCCCAGACAGCGGATAATCTGCCAGAGTCGCCCCGATGCCATTATCGTCATCGGAGAGGGAGCCCAAATGGGCATCAACGAGTGCCAGTTTCAGTTCAAAAACGGGCGCTGGAACTGCTCTGCGCTCGGAGAGAGAACAGTCTTCGGCAAAGAGTTGAAAGTGGGTATGTTGCTGTCTGTTAACGTTTGTTCACGGTTTGAAACCCCCCCCCCCCCCCCCCCAGCAGTTAACACAGTTTATCAAACACCTTGCACTTCAATGCGTAATGTGTGCGCATTGTGCGTAAAATGCGCACCCAGTCTTTATCTCTGGCTCTTTTATGCTTTTCCTTTAAAAATAGTTAATATTCACAAATAATTACGAGATTGAGGCCTATATCAACGAGTCAAATTATGACCTGATGCCTTGTAAAGATAAAAAAAAAAAATGGCATTGACGTGCATCCTTTCCCACATGTCTCACAAAATATAATCTAATAGCAGATACTCTTGATCTCCAGTCAACACCTGCACCAGACAACACCAACTTTTTCTGCATATTAAATGATCATCTGCCCTGCATTATTGCATCCATAGCACAAGGAGTCAGTGTCATTTACATCAGGCCTAGTTTTTGCTCCAACCTCTTCATTGAGTGGGGCTTTTCTGTAAAAGCTATCTGCAGCCAGCACTGTAACAAAGCTCTCGTGAATGTTGGCAGCCTTTTCTTTTCAGCCCGGCAGAGTCTCCGGAGACACATTTTCACTGGTCTTTATCCCGTCCAGTGATGGGTGCTGTGGCTCTCACTGTTAGGACGTAGATCTTACCACGGGTATAAGTTACAGCGGGGCAAAGCCGAGAGGAAAGCAAGACCTGAGCGTACTAAATTAGAGAAACAAATTAGTTCAAATCGGTGTTCCTGAGACCAAATTCTGCAATAAAGAGTGGATGAACCTCAGTGGATTCTTAAATTATGGCTGGAGTTTTGTGGCTCATCTGTTGGCTACTATGAACTGCAAAGTGGATAAAAGATACTGAGGATATCGATCACAGGAGCACCTCCTTTTAATGAATTATAATGATATTTTGAGTAATGATGCCTTTATGGCGACAGTGGCGCTTGATAACCACAGAAGATGCTCTGTAAAAACCACATAAATTAAAATAATTAAAATATATTTGAGTTCTGCCAGAACTATTTATGTTCAACAAAGAATCCAAACACCCTTTTACACAATGCTCAGTAGCTTGTACCAGCTGTTTGAGAGAAAGGATTATCTCTAGTGGTGTTTGACAATCTGTTCCTTTATGAATGAGTGGTTGGAGCTCATCAACAGCCCGGGTTTGTGTTCCCAAGACAGGAGTTTAAGTTCTAGTGTGTGGACAGCCGTACCAAATAGATTGGATTCACCGATCAGATTAGCGTCGAAGGCCAGTGGTTGTAAATGAATGCCATTGTTGATGCCCAGGCTGTGAGTGGAGCTGCGCAGCTCGCAATTGTTCTCAAAGCGAAGGAGGAGTGACCCGGGCACTGACATAATCCTCACGGGTGATGCAAGATGCATCAGCTTTGAGCGATTTTAGGCCTCAGCTGTGTTTGCACTCGAACTTTGTAGTTACACTAAGCTGTGCGAGGTTATGGGTGCATATACAGAGGCTGAGAGAGGGATGAAAGAGAAACAAACATGGCAGAAATAACAGCGAACAGCGAACATCTAGTTCAGCTTAACCAGGCTTTTTTCCGTCCTCTCGTTTTAATATGTTCCACCTCTCATTACAAGGTGAGGAGGAATTCATACCATCCCTTGTGCGGTGAACTCATGCACTCAGAAGTGCAAGGGGAAAAATTAACAACGGTGCAGTCAGAACTGACAGACACACCTTCTTTTTTGGCTCGGTGCCCATCAAGTCTATAAAAACGTCCACATAATTGATGCCTCAATACGAGTTTTTTTTTTTTTTTGTTTTTTTTCCCCCCCCCCAATGGCAAGGGCACGCATCCAAGATGTTTATCAAAAACATGGCAGCTCTACATAGTGAACCGGGTGGCAGGAGGAAGCACAGAGTAGGTATGATGTTTGTTTTGAACAAAGACACGAGGAGTTTATGTACACATAGGTATGCTGGGTGTTATAACCAGGAGTTTCCTGTTGGAAATTAGAATATGCTACTTGTTGATCAAGGATATGAATATTACATTATGGGCTGTTTCACATTGGCTCAGAAGGGGAATATATATTGCTTAGTTAGCATTATATAAAGCTGTGAATATCACGATTGTGCTTTTTTCTCGGCTCCTTATTTGACTGGAGATCTTTGCTGCAGGATCGGTCTGTATGAGTCCTGTCAGATTAGCCTTTAGTTATTTGCCGATATTTCCCCGAGCGTGTAAATGATTTGTTAGCTGGACTTGGTCGAGATAACAGGCAGGAGGAAGATTCTGATGTCAGTGCCTTATGAGTCTACACAGAATGGGACAGTTTCTGAGCGGATCAATAGCCCTTCCTTGTCGACAGCCCTCTTATTCATACCGCTTTGTTGACTATACCACCCGGTGGCCATTTTGGTTCATGGGCAGGACAGTTTCCAGGTCAGGTTTCAAAACACTGCAGCCCTTGAGTGAATATGTCAGCCAGACTGTGATATAAGCACACATACTGTTAATAATTAATCTTCAAAATCCCCTCACGTACTTATTGCATTTCCCTTAAACTGGAGGAAAAACACCATGACATGCTCTATTTAAAACAAATAAATCTCCTGCAACATTTTATTCATCCCCCTCTTTTTTTCCTCTGCCCCGCTATAGGTAGCAAGGAGGCTGCGTTCACCTACGCCCTCATCGCAGCTGGGGTGGCCCACGCCATCACAGCGGCCTGCACACAGGGCAACCTGAGCGACTGTAGCTGTGATAAGGAGAAGCAGGGCTTCTACAGCAAAGACCAAGGCTGGAAGTGGGGAGGCTGCTCGGCCGACATCAGCTACGGCCTGGGCTTCTCCAAAATATTCATCGACGCCCGGGAGGTCAAACAGAACGCGAGGACGCTCATGAACCTCCATAATAACGAGGTGGGACGCAAGGTAAGTGATTAGCAACGGGGTTACGTCTGTTTGGTCGGCACAGTGACTTTATCAGATCACAGAATCTGATCCCATCAAGGCACAGAGAATATAAAGCAAAGACTGAAAATGACGGTGAACTAAACTAAACTAGTTTAAGCCTGAACTGAGTAACTACTAAAGGTCTTTGCCGTGATGTGGTGTCGATTACCGGTATTGACGATAACCATGATATTTAAAAAACAAAATATTGATATACCAATAATAACATATGATAATATCATGTAAATGTACCAGGGCCTCTTAAATCCTTTCCGTCTCTTTCCTTTCTCAATTTTTTGGACAGTTGTGATCACAAACTCTCTCTCTATCTCCTGTATTGTGACTGTGATTCATTAGACACAAAAAAGAGACAAAATGCACAATAAACAAAGTTAAAGATGAGTTTGACTGATCGTGATAAAATCACCATTGCGAATTCTCTTGGCCACGCTAATCGCGGAGTGATAATCTGATATCGTGACAGCGCTACAGTATAGTGTGGGTGAACCTTGCCAAAGATCTGGGCAGCGGGGCCAAGACTGAACAAGCAGTGGAATAAAAGGCTGCTTTTAAGGGAAGAGCTGTCTAAGTGGCCGGGTTTGATTACAACCCAGATCTATGCACTGGAAAACAGATTGACACTGTACAAAAAGGCATTAGCTGGGACGGTACACAGTTACCTTTCATGGCAACCCCCACCTACAATCAGGTGCAATGTGTTTGTACATGCACCATGGGGGGGGGGGGGGGGGGGGGGGTTACTGTTTGGTTAGTGCAGTTACATGTACTCCATCTGCATGCCACATTTTTAATTCAGTCATTGGATCTTCATCAAGTGAAAATCAATTTTAATATACCTTGCAAATTGGCAAGGTATATAGTCACTGTCGAACCCCACTGCAAAGGGGCCTTATGAAAACGAAGCGACAACAACGGCGTCATGAGGACCGGACGGTTTTCATGATGTGTGGAGCTGCTCGTTTGATGCCTTTTCTGCATGCATGGCTGCAGAGCGCTGCAGAGTGACAAAGAGACTCCAGTCAGTCTAGAGGTTAGAGATTGAGTGGAATAATGTGTCAAACAGTCAAAGTGAGGTTGGTGTTTGTGAAGAATAGAGAAGCAGCTTTGCCCAGGTTTAGTCATATCCCTCTCTCTCTCTCGCTCTCTCTCTGTGTCTCACTGGGCCAAATAGCCTAATTCACACAACCAACACGTCCATCCCCATGCCGGCTGAAAAGCCTCCCTCCGCAGAGACCATCTCCTACGTGCGTCTCAGCACCATGAATTCCAATTGGCTTATTTGGACAGCTAAATTGCCTCCCAGGAGTGAAAAAAGACTGTACTGGTGGATTCACAACTTTGCTACTTCTTCTTTTCTGCTAATAAAAAGGCCTCTCTGTTGTTTGTTAGTCCCCCCCCCCCTCTCCTTTATTTATGCTAATCAAAAGCGGTGACACCGAGCAGGAGCGCCGCTCACGGCTCCCCGGGTCGAAGACGTCCAGACAAAGGCTGTCACAAGTGTTGGTCACGGAACAACTGATGGATTAGCGAGTTGAAGCCCAGGGTTTTATGAAGCGGTTTGCTCAAGGGAAACCTTGTTTTCCTTGGTTCTTGTTCACACGTCTGTGTTTTACAGTTTACTTGCCAAGAACACAGACGCATAAATATCTCGTCAACGGCTTCGGGAGACCATATCGCATACAGAACTCCGGAGCATTTTAAACAAAGGGAAAATTGCAATTGACCTTGTTGCTAAAGGAAATTCCAGTTGCAGTCAATGGCACTTCTCATTGTCATCAGCTCAGGGTTTAGCAGTAATCCTAGTCACTCGGCGCCTTGTACAGTCACTCTTGACATTTGTGTGCTGTGTGTGGTAACTACACACACAGAGCCTGAAATCTGATACATTATTTTGGCTTCTGTGTGTACGGTATCACACAGCTATGCGGCGGGGCCGTATTTAATCCCCAACCACGGTGTATTTGTCAGTCACGTTGTTATTAAGTTGCACATTTGTCTCGAGGTGCAGGAGTTGAAATGCGAATTGACAGTTTGAAATCCACCGGGGGTTCCAAAAAAAATTCATTGAAATATAACGCAATTTGTTTAGCAGGTAAAATCATTATTATAGTAAACTGCATGGTAATTGGTTTTAATTATCCAGTACGGCTGTTATTAATCTATCACCAGAGTGTATTTATCACTCATCATTGGAGTGTTTTCACAGTTGCCGGTTGTTACGACGTTACTGAGTTGTTTTTCTGTGTCTAGGTCCTGGAGAAGAGCATGCGACTGGAATGCAAGTGTCACGGCGTCTCGGGCTCCTGCACCACCAAAACCTGCTGGACTACACTTCCCAAGTTCCGCGAGATCGGCTACATTCTCAAGGAGAAGTATGCCCACGCCGTGCACGTGGAGCCAATCAAAGCCAGCCGCAACAAGCGCCCTAAATTCCTCAAGATCAAGAAGCCTTACTCTTACCGCAAGCCCATGGACACGGACCTCGTGTACATAGACAAGTCGCCCAACTACTGCGAGGCGGACCACGTGACGGGGAGCTTGGGGACACAGGGCAGGGTGTGCAACAAGACGATGATGCAGCACATCAGCGGCTGCGACTTGATGTGCTGCGGCCGCGGGTACAATACGCACCAGTACTCCCGCGTCTGGCAGTGCAACTGCAAGTTCCTGTGGTGCTGCTATGTCAAGTGCAACACCTGCAGCGAGAGGACAGAGGTGTACACATGCAAATGAGAGTATTTATTGGATGGCGTGTGTGTGATGAGACGTGTGTGAGTTCTTGTGTTCACGGACAAACTGGAACTTTTGCATGAAGGCTGTTCTCGCAGTCTTTTCATACAAGAGGAGGAACTACTGTGCTGTGTATACAGGAAGCTGAAGACGGGGCGTCGTGATTCTTTTGCACACAAAGCTCCTCACCCCTCTTCTTGGACTGATGTCGAAAAAGTGACACCGTTAAGAGAAAAAAAAACAAAAAAAAAAAAAACACTGTACCCTGGCACGTGGGATGGGGTGCCAAACATCAAAAAAAAATTTAAGCTATATGGACATTTAGGAAATGGACTTTGCCAATGCAAATGAATTGTGGTGGACGTGATCGCTGGGCAGGACACTCTGCTGTAGTTCTCGCACTGTGCTCAGATGAAATGACACTTGGCCATTTGGAATATTTAACATACTGTATGTAGAGAATGAAAATAATTAATATTAATTTATTCTATAAAAACAAACTACTGATTCATCCATTATGGATAACTAAATGTTGGGTTTTAGTTTATTAAGGCGATAAAAACCTGTCCACACTCTTGTTAACACACTGGATTTGAATTTGCCTGGAATAATAATGTGTTTTAGAATAATGTTGCTCCAGATGAAACCGCTGTAGGCCGCTCACATTGACCTCCTGACCTTGTCTTCCCCTCTGTTTGCTGCTAGTCTGGAGAATCCCACTTGTTGAGGTCAAAGGCTGTACGCTCTACTGACTGCCTTCAGTGGCATCGCCTACGTCAAGCTGATTTAGCTCAACAGGACTTATTCGCCGATCAAAAACACAGGCACATTTTCCACTTCCATTTTGGTAAATATTGGTTCAGAGAGTATATTTTGTAAAAGCCTATTTTTATATGAATGTCTTATTTATATCTTTTGCATATTCAATGTCAAGTTCTGAGACCCGTTTTTAAATCCCTGTGGAAAAAAAAAGCTGATATATGTAAGTTGGCCCCTGCTGTCACTGCCATAGTTGTATATTGTAAGTGATAGAAGCTGTTCATTTGTGTCTGTGTTCAAACATCTGTGTTTACTGCGTTTCATGACTACTACTGATGGAATACAGGAGCAGAATAACACTAACAAGACGTGATTCCCGTTATTGCTTCCTCATACATGCAAGTCTCACTCCGATCGTGGCAAAAGAACAGATGGGAATGCCATAAAGAAAAAGACCAATGGAGAACAGTTGTGATGTGCTGTAAATGGCGAGATAGAAATGACGATTGAAATTGAGCAAAAGGAATATCGACTTTAACATTTTCTTGCCATAAAACAGTCAAGCTATTGAACTTTTATGACAATAAATTTCCTCAATTGGTCATTCTATAGGTATGAATTAACCGTTAACCGAGTAATTACTTACACTTTCAAACGAACACAAGTGTAAATCTTTATAAATGGCAGCCACAGAGTGGTTTACATCATCATCAGGCAATCATACGACAATATCATACGGTCACCATGGAAATAAATCTGCTCTCAAAGTGCTTCTCCTACAAGTACAATGTGTGCAACACTGGGCCGCAGAGAGAGAGATGTCCTTTCAGGGGAGAAAGTTATTCAGGCTTAATTGAGGGCCCATCTTGCAGACTGGGAAGCAGTTGAACGTGTCAGAGGAGAAAAGCGTTTGTGCCCTAATGGTAGGGCACCGGAGTAATTAATGAGACCGGTCGGTGCAGACTGTCACGGAGATGACTTGCTCAGTCGTGGGAGTGGGAGCCTGTCAGGTGATAGATGACTCGCACATCTGCTTCATTCACTCCTGGGCCACTAGTTGCTACAACAACTCCAGCGCGGCCGAGAAAATGCAGGGCAGTCTCCAAGAGAGGCCGGCCGACGTGTCAGGGAAATGTTAACGATGCTAAAGCCCACAGTCGTTACAGATTCCACTGTCATTGGGCCTGGAAGTGGAGCGGGGAGACGGGCCTGAGGTGTTGACAGAAAACCTGCTTCCAATAATCTCCTGGGATTGATAAATGCAGCCCGTAAAGTTTTCACCTGTGCTGTGTTTTAGAACATTCCCACGTGGCCGGTTCTTTTTCTTCTTGTTAAAAAAAAACAAAAAAACTTTTCCCCCCAGTAAAAGCAGAGACACATGAGGTTTCATTTACAGTAGATTAGCCGTATCACGTGTCATTGGCAGTGATAATCGGCCCACAATGAATAGAGAAAAAGGGCGTGGGGGGGGATCATGACAGAGGCTCGTCTCTGTCCGACAAAAGCTTTCAGCTTACATAATATTGATACAAAAGACTCACGCATATGAAAAGGCAGCTGCTCCAAAAGCTCTGGTTAAACCTAAACTAGGGTTTTGTGCGTGTGAGACGCACACCACATTATCTCACCAACAAAACACTCACACCTCAGAGTCCTTTATATGTGTCACTTATTGACTTCCACTGGCGGCGATCTAACTTCTGAATGGCAAGGTTTGTGTGGACACTTTTAAATGTGGTGCTCTAAAGGTTACAAAGTGCCCTTAAAGTTTCCACTAATTAGTCAGATTAATCAGAAGGATTTACCATTAAACCTCGGGTGCTAATATTTACAGCAGAACATCCTTTTTTTTTTTTTTTTTTTTAAACAGACAATGTAGTTCAACTTCTGTTCCAGGTAATCCACCTGCATTGTTTTCCAGTCAGGTGCAAAAACCACCACCACACAGAGGCCGCAGTCACTTCATCCCCATTGAGTCACAAGCACAAAGTACCACCTTCTTTGATATCGCAGCCCGTGTCAGACACCCGTCAGGATCACTGAAATGCTAATTATACTCTTAGCCGTGTTTCTCCATAAACAGGACTGGGCCCATGCCAAGATGTTCAGGGGGTGTAATATCCGTGTTGCTGTGGAGTGGGGTTGCGTTACCCTTTGGAGTTTTGTTTATAAGAACACACACACAAGCAGACACACACACACACACACACACACACACACACACACACACAACACCTGCAGTAGTTGGAAATTGGTGGTAGCAGTAGATTTATGGTTGGTAGTCTGGCTCGCTCCCCGTGTTATTACTGGAGGCCTGCCACAGCTTCCCTATCTGCTCCCATGACCCGTTACATCAGGACTCCAGCCGCTCCAGCCGGCAATTAGCGTCAGCGCCAACAATGAGTCTTTTAACACATATTTAAGCAAGATCCATCCTGCTCTCCGTTTTATCATTAGATCGGCCTCGACTGCACCGGGGATCAGATTTATTTCTGGAATTGAACTCTTGATGCAGAAGATTTGTTGAAGCCAATGATTTGATTCAGGATTTGTATTTCCAAGTCATCTCATGAACTGAAGATGGGACTTCTTTGTACAGTCTGTTCTCTTTTAGTGTCTGCATGACAGCATTAAAGTTACCCATCAGAAAACAGACAGCATCTTGTGTTTGCTTTTCCAGAGACGACTGAAAATATACCACCAATGAAGGAGGAAATGACTCATAATTTCACGGTAAAAGAGTTGTTAAATCATATATTTTACAAGGCCTTCATTAACACAAGGCTGTGTGTGTGTGCACCATTCTGTTTCAACAGCTTCCAACGTTTCACTCAAACAAGTGGACAGCACTAAAGACAATAATTTGAAGGAGGAGGAGGAGGAGCGAGAAAATGTGCTCTCCAGTTTTTTCTCTCCCCTTCGCTCTCTCCAACCATAAATCTTCTGACACATGATTCTGTCAGTCATACTTTTGTTTTTCCTCTGGTTGAGACATGCACAAGCACCTGAGCGCCGCACAGTAAATTGCAGAGCACAAGGTTGTCTTTATGCGATTCCAGAGATACTGCACGGGCGCAGAGCTCATTCATGCACTCTCTTAACAGAGTGCTGTTTGAGACTCTGCGATGGAAGCCAGAGATAGCAGACAATATCCACTCCCCGCAAGAGAGATCCACAACAGTTTGGCCCTCACAGGGGGGGGGCTGTCTATCTGACTTCCTATGGCCTAATCTGATATTACAGGTAAACACAGTGGTCAAATAGCTTTGAGGTATTGTCAGTGGCATTAAGGTAAGACTGGATCAGCTCTTGGGGGGATTTTGGAGGAGCCATTTGTGACGATTTGAGCGAACTTACCGGCCCGCTTAACCTGCCTTTGAAATGTGCAATCATGCATCTGAGAAACGGGGTAATGAGAACTTTCAGTGAGTGTGTTAAAAGCAACCTTTGATGGTGTGTGGTGTTGTATCTCGAAATGATCTGAGCACCCCATATGATACTTTTTCCTTGCTTTTGGAGTGGTTTAGAACAGGGCTATAGAGGGCCCTCATACCTGTCCCCCCCTCTCTCCCTCCATCCAGAAGACGTCACCTGAGCCAAGCTTACAGTAATCCTCCGGCGTCTCGACATGGGATGTTTTGAACAAAAACACCAAACTCACTACAACCCCGTAAGACTCAGTGGCGGTTAGGAAAATATCACTGATCTTCTTCCAGCGTCGTGACGGCCCTTCTCTGCCCTTACAGAGCTGGCATCTTCTCTTCTTGATTTGGACAAAACGGCAGGTTCATAATAAATAAGCCGCAGTCTCACTGGTGAGGCTTCACCCCTGATTATGAAATCTTTTCCTCACAAGCGTCCGACTCACCAAGACGCAACTTTCAAGCGAGAATGGAGACAATATCAAAACGAAACCAGAAAGCTCCCGTCTGTGTGTTGGGCAATCGATTAACAAAAGAAAAAGGTGCACAAACATGAAAACATTCTGGATGGTTTCATAGCTTCCAAGCTCCCGTCTCTTGGCAGAACAGCTCAGAGGGAGTTGCAATGAATTCTCTGCTCTTGCATCTTACAACCTGTCCAGGCACGCTCCTAAATGTATCATTGCAGAAAGCTATGAAACAATTTGAGCTGATGCTGCCAGTTTAAATAACTAAACCATGTGGTCAGAGCTATTATACCATTAATCTTCTCCCCCTCTCCACTCATGCTCTGCCAAGAGATGGAAACACCCTCACCCTTCCACCCAAAAGAGGTAAAGAGATACCTGAAAGTGCTTCTTTTGATATGTATCCCACAATGCTGGTGACAAAAGCGTTTTGAAGCCGGGTGCCACAGACCTTTTCAATCATGTTATCTTTCATTTCATTCCCTGCTGCTGGATTGAAACGCATATCCCGGAAAAGACGTTTGCAGGCAAAAGAAATATGTTCTGCACAATTACAATGTGTGCGTATGGGTCAAAGTGGCCTAAGCGTGTGGTTAATTTCATACACAGATGTCATGAACTGTAATAACCACTTGAATAAAGTTTGGCTCCCTGTAAATAATAGTCAGTGTTGGCTGTAAACAAGGTGGAGATGTCTGACAGGTGGTATCTGAGGTCATTCTGTTCATTCCTCTGAACATATTTTTCCACCCGTCACTTCTTCCCCTGCAACACGTGCACAATCAATATTAAGTTCCTAATCCACATTAAAAGGACATGGAATTGAAAGAAGTAATGCGCACCGAGTGACCTCGGAGTCGGTGACAGTGGTAGATGATCCTCCGGTTCAGCGTGGGGTCAGAGGTTTGTCTGTAGGGCAGGGGAACACAGCTGGACGCCCTGCTCCGAGGTCAGCTTCAGTGATGGTAATGAGATAAAGAATAGAACAAAAGGGAAACGGGATAAAGAGAGCAACGGAGGGGAGAGAATCTCACTTTCACTCGCCTTTAATGATTTTACAGAGGCTTTATACCTACAGTACGTTGATTTATGGTTATTGTCATGTTATATTGCCGTTGTTGTCTTTACAATACGGAGCACAGGCAATACAAATGTTTTGTTTTTCCTTTGGCTGGCCATTCATTAGTGAGTGTCTCCTCTTGGCCTAGTTAAATCCAGAATGAAAGCCCGATGGGTAGTGACTCCTGATACTGTGCCAGACAGTGACAAACACCTTAATGGGTTCCTGGCAGGAAGTCTTTAGATTCTTTGCTCTTTCGCAGCCAAAAGAAAAGACCCTGCCGTGCACCGACACGGAAATAGAGTTACATTGCCTACGGTTTGCCGCAAGGAGAAGAGTGTACACATGATCTGGACTATGATCTGATGTCACATGTGACTCCTGCAGAGGGAACAAAAGCAGCCGAAGCATTGTCAGTTGGCACAGAAAACCACAGCGATCGCTTCCATCATAAATCACCGCTCCTCAAAAGGATAGGTGTCTGGTGACAGGAGGAGCAGGCCGAACAATGCCCCGTCTGCTGTGACAGAAACTCGCGTGAACCGAAAGCGGTTCA